AAGCAATCGATTACACCCTTGATACAAATCGATTGCATGGGTTCTAACAGCCAGAAAAAATTCAAATATTTTCAGTGAGCAATTGATTGCACAAACATGCAAATCGATTGCACTTTAAAATATAAGCATTTTTAACCAGAGTGCAATCCATTGCACTCTTGTGAAAATCAATTGCACTAAGAAACAGAAGAAAAACAACTGAAAATGTGAGTCATGCAATCGATTGCACCAACATGTAAATCGATTGCACAAGTAAAAATGGATTTTTTCTTAGGAAACTTGAGAAAAAGTTTGGACAAGGTTTAAACACTTCTTTTGATCATTGAGCATTTAAGACTTAAGTTCATAGCAAGATTTGTTATTATACCTTGTGAAATTTGCCAAGAGCTTGAATCAAAGACTTTTATCCATTGATGATTTAGCTTGATCAATATCTTTGCCTTCTTACCATTATGGCTTGCCTTCATCAAAATAAAGTTCATTGAGAAGCTTGATATTACATATGCTTCCCCTTATTAACAAAGTTATTGAAAACTTAATTGAAATAATTGATACATTAGGTTTAGGTCTTCTATTTAAATACACCTCTGTAGTCCATGGGTTTCGAAATCTGCATCCAAAATTTCTTGATCCACAAGCTGTGTGATGCACCAATTGTGCAGGAAAATCTCCTTAAATCTTGGAACAAACAATACCAAGTTTCCTAAATTGTCTCAAGGCTCGACTTAGTAACTTATATATAGCTGGAGATACAAAACTTGTTCCAAATTAAATCTTCTTGACCTGCAAAATTTACTGAGACATATCCAAAAGGAATATCACATAATCCAATTAAATCATTCAAGATTTAAAATAGCCTGTACATGTTCTGGTACAGAGTGTCACAACATCTGACAGAACATCTTTCTTCAATGAACTTGTCCAACATGTTAGAACATCTCCCTTAACATCTTTGCCGTGAACCGTGTTTTAGCAAAATTGTTGCCAATCCCAAAACCATGGTACTAACAAAATATTTTATTTTTATTTTTATTTGACATATCTTTATTTATTTATAATTATTTTAATAATATTCATGTTGTGTAATAGTGTCAAATTCACGAGTATTTTCCAACAGTTGGCAAGAGAGGATTGTCTGAGATTAGTGGTATCAGTAGTGCACTTTCGAGAGCAATGAAATAAGGTTACAAGCAATGAGCACACAAGGTTGATGATATTAGGCTTGTGTTAGATTCATAGACACCTTATGATGTCATTTGGAGGCCTTTTGAGGATCATAGACAATACCGTCCATTTGATTATATGTGTTTGTACAGGGGTGGTTTGAAATGGTATGGGACAATTGTACCGATTAGCTATTGCACAACCCATATCTGGTAACGTCATCCATTTCTCTGATGGATGAGGACCTAAAGATGATATCATCAAGGATTCTCTCACTTCTGAAAAGTGATCTCCAAATAACTGCTCATAGAGATTGCATCTAGGACGTCTAATTTCATTATCCAAGTCACGATGAACAATTGACCATTCACCCTCACCATATCCATGCAACGATGCAGTGACTATAAACCCACAATTTCCATCATCCCTTACATAAATAAATGGTCTGATATGATCTGGAAATTGTACCATGAACTTATTATATGGTTTTTTCTTGGAGGTTTGGGATAACTGTGAAATGTCGTCTTTGAATATTTTTGAGAACTCGAGTGTGCTTTATCAACATACTCATGATATGCGTATATAGAGTCAACCACATGTCTTTCACATAATAATTTTTTTAAAGAAAACATATGTGATATTTCCGGTGATCAAAACCTGTAATGGACCGATATCTGCATATGCAAGGCTGGAATCAAAGAGGAGGGGAGAGGGAGGGGGTGTACCTGCAAGGCACTCTAATGCTTAAGTAAGTAAGAGTGCAAAGAGATACAAGAGAGAATATAAGGTTTTAGAAGTGAATATTGGATATCTGAACCTCATAAGTGTGAGGGTTTATATAATGCTCTCGGCGCTTGGCCATTGGTCCCTATTTTTGGGCCTATATATCAGGCCCCCAAAAATAGGTAACTGCCAAGAGTGGGTAGCTCGAGCCTGTTGTCCTGGGGGTGATGCTCGAAACTAGTTGTTATCGCGAGCAGAGATGCCCTTAACTAGCCGTTTCCACGAGTAGAGATGCAGTCGCGGGCATGCATAGTCTGGTTGTCTTTGGATCAGGGGACCAAGTGACTGAGTCTATCGGGAAGAGAAAAAAACATGCCTCTCACTAGCCCAAGATGATTGGGCCAATGAATTTGGGTCGTTCTAAAGAAGGAGTGGATTAGGCCGCATATAATTGCTGGCCTAGTCAAGAACAAGATCCCCCAAGTTGTTGCTTCTAGGCATATGAGTGATTACTTAGATTCAGCTCGGGCGCTAAGGAGGAGAATGCTTTGTTGGAGCCTTTTGCTCGGGATGAAATGTTTTGCGATTTCTCTGGGGATGTGCTAGTAGGAGAAATGGTCGTCTTCTGTGCTCGACGTACGGGGAGTCGAACAACTGGTGGAATTTTGAAAAAGGTGACGTGTCACGCCTGCCTAGATCCGCGTGCCATATCAAATGCATAATGATGGCTAGAGGGGCTAGGGTTAATGATGACCCATGACAGTCACGTTCCCCTAGGTATAGCCTGTGTGCACATGACCAGGGAGGGTTTATAAATAGGAGAAGGGGAAACCCAATTGTAATTTTTGCCTTCTACTTTCTTATGCTTTCTCTCTGTTATCAGCCTCTTATTATTGTCGCCGCTGTAGACCGCCGCAGTAGAGCATCATTGACAGTCGTTTCAGTTCTATTTAACCAAGTAAGCTTTCGATTCCTCTTACTCTCTGTGTTAGGTTTAGTTTTAAATTCTAATTTTTAGGAATGCATGTTGTTAGGTGGACTGTGCAGGCATTACCATGGCGGTGGTTGGCGTCTAAGGGTGGAGAAGCCATCTTTGGACGCTGGTGCTAATAGGGTGAGAGGCATTTAGTTAGGATTTTTACGTTTTGGGTGGTTCTGGCACCGTTGCTATGGCGGCGAATGAGTCTGCCACCAGCGAGACCTATGAGTTTCCCGGTGGATTCAAACATTTTTTGGGTTCATATAAATTTTCTGATGAACCTTATGAATTTTCCGATGAGCTCCATGTGTGGTTCAAAGTCCAGTCGTCAGGGGGAATCTTCTCCGTAAGGGCTTTAGGGTCTGTCAGTCGAGGAGTTGTGATCTCTCACGTCGGGGAATATTTCCTCGTTCTCGTTGCTGTCGAGTAAGGGCTTTGGTCGAGGGTAATGTCCTCGTTCCTTTCCACTCCCTTTCACTTGATTAGCAGTGGAAGGGTGGATTTTATTTGATTGTCGAGTTCACTTTTGTCCCCTGCTTTTCAGGTAAAAGTTGGCTATTTCGGCCGAGGAGGAACATCTGCTTGACTCAGGAGAAGCTTCCGAGAAAGAATAGATTTCTCCAAACCCAGGGACATAGCTTTGTATTTTGCAGACTTCCCCGACGAAGTGTTTACTTCAGTTTCAGAAGTAGCGGATCCGCCGGAGCCTAAGGCGGACTGTGTAACACCTAAAAATGATTAGATTACTTATCTAATTATTTAATTGTGAGTATTGTGACTTGTTGTTATACCATAATTTCCCCCCTCCCAATATCCCTCATCATTTCATATCATCTCAAGACATCTCAACATGCCCACCACTTCATCAGATGTTTGAAATTTGCAAGAGATTTGAAGTGAAATCATATTCTCCTATCTTTTGGGACCTTGAGCTAGGATTTTGATTATTTGAGTGTGTGAAACCTCCATGGGAAATGTTTTTGAAGAAATATCATCTTATCATCATACAATACATCATTGGTCAAAATATTCTCCATCATAACCAGAGGAATTAGGATTTTGAGCTTGAGACATAATCTCCTATCATTTTCAACTGAGATTAAGGTTTGTAATAAAATTAGTTTATTTATGATTCTTTGAGAAAAACTTGATTACATGGTACTATACATGTCTCTAAGTATCTATGGGTAGAAGATTGATCATCAATTTTAATCAGAAGAGAGTCAATTGACCAGATAATAAATGAATCGATTGAATTGAGGAAAAGTCAACTGTGCAAGTTAAAAGCAAACTCCTGACTTTTTGAGATCAATTTTGGTTTCTACAAGTAAAAAATGGTCAAGGGTTGATATTTTTCCAAGTGGAATCAATAAAATCAAGAAAATCAGAAATTTGACCAAAGTTTGACATTTTCACACATAATTTTTTTTAAGTATATGAGATTTTTATGTTCATTCACCACTTTTCAAAAGGTTATACCTTCTTCTTTTTTAATCATAAATTCACAAACTTATGATAAATGGATATGGAAAGTTTCATACTACATCTTTGTCCTTGAGGGCTCATGTACAAAAAGTGAAAGGAGGAGGAGTTATTCAAGGTGGAAGAACAAGGATCATTCCTGGGAAGTTCTACACTTAGTGAAAATTATAGGTCACCTTCATGATCCTAGAATTTTTCGTGGCCATTTTTGGAGACTTTAATGAATTCAAATCAAAAAGTCATCAACATGAAAGTTGTAGAAAATCATTTTCCCTTTCCAAAAAGTCCAAGTTTATGTATTTATTTAAAGAATTGAGTGATTTATAGTCTTAAGGCTAGAATGCACCATTTATGTCACCTTTATGAACCAAATTCACCATTTCTCATTTCCTTGCAATTTGAGATCATTTATCTTGACCCAATACGTTTTTGTTAGTGTACTAAGCCCTATGCACATGCCTAAACCAGCCATGCACTCTCATGTCCTTGATTTTGCCCTTTCTCACAAATTAGCTCAAAATAAGAAATCCCTTGTATCTCACTTATTCCACTAAATATCTATTTGTACCATCTTTTAAGGGATGAATTATGAGCCCACGTGGAGAATAAAATGCACAAGAATTCTATCAAAATCCACCTAAAACACAACAACTCAAAACTTGCATTTTTTTGGCCAAAACTCCCAAACTTGCCCTCCACTCAAATTCTGACCATGGTTAGATACCACACTCACTCCATACACTCTATATAAATCCCTAATACTCACAAAAACCCTAAGCACACCTCTCTCCTCCTCAAATTCCGATCTTGCATCTTTGTTTTTTTTTTTGAGTTTTCTCAAGCTTTCACATTTCTCTTGTGCCATTCTTTATTTTCCACTTGTTTCATCACCTCTAAAGCTCAAATGTAAAGACTAATAGGGTTTCTTAAGTTATGAAATTGAAGAAGGCAGTGGTACCATCTTCCACTTGGTAACTTTCAACTCCTCATTTATCTTCCTTTTTAGATAAAAAGGTGCCATATTAGGAGCATACACATTGCATCTGGGTGCCTGAAATGTATGCCCAAACTTGTTTGCTTGAAACTAAGTTTATGTGATGTTTTTAATCTTTTGAAATTTTATGAAAACATGCTTAAATCTGTGACTTCCATGCTATTGTTCTCAATGTTTGGTTCATTATTTTATGTCATATTTGTGATGGTTGTGTTCCTTGTGTTGAGATCTACAACTTTGGTTTTGATTTTGTTGGATTTCATTAAGAAATGAGAGAGATATGGTTGATGGAAGATTGCGTGATGAATATGATCTCTTAGGGCATGTATATCGCATTTTACTGGGTTTTTGTTTTGAGATGATTGTGGAAATGATACGTGTTGGAGTGTGATTGGCCGTGGCATTGTTTTTTGTCTTATTCGATTTAAATTAAAGGGACCACTTGATGCCATGGTTTACATCATTTTGTACACTTGAGCGTGACTTTTTTTTATTTGTTTATTTATTCATAAATTAAACAAATAACCAGGGTGGACCCCAATACACACGCGCTTGATTTTGATTGGGTCCCTGATTTACCTTTTGTAGTGTTTTTTTAGAAAGGCCATTACATGTTTTAATTCCTCATTTTATTTCTTTTCTTTTTCTTTTTCTTCTCTGATTTTATTAAATTACTTTTAATTATTCAAAAATCACAAAAAATTATGAGATTAATTTAACATGTCTAATATTTGTTTATTATTTTTATTTTATTTTTTAGGATATTGCGCTATTTTATTAAATTAAGTTAGTTAAATGTGTTATTTAGTTGAAAACAATTGTTTAGGTTTTGTTTAAATTTTATTTTAACATTTCCTTAATCTAAAAAAATGCACAAAAATATTTTTTATAATCCTTAACGTGTTGATTTAATTGTAGTGTTTTTTAAACTAAATTTATCTATTTATTTACCTTGTTTAAGAAAATTGTTTATGTAGAGTGTTATTTTGGTCATTGTGATACGGTGAGAGAACTGACTTGAAGGTTTTGCGTTTGATCACAAATGTTGCGGTTAGCAAGAGTCGTCACCGAATTTTCTTTTATCCAAAAGGAAAGGTGAAAAAACACATGAAATACCTTTGAAATTATTTCTTGAGTTCGGGGGTAGATTATGAAAAGGGAAGGTATTAGCACCCTTTTCATCCATGGTTTTCCATGAGCTCTTAGTTACTTGTTAGATCGCTTGCTTTTTGTTTGAAATTGTGCTTAGAGTAGTTTTTGAAAGTATTTTGTAAAGAGGCCATTGTGTAGACAATCTTTGTAATGATTCTTGTTTGTAAGAATGTATACAAAGATGTTTGATCTTTTGAAAATGTTTTCAAGTTTTGTAAGATATTTTGAAAGTGTAGGTGTTTGTTTTGAAAATAGCAAGGATGTTTTGTTTTGAAATTGAGAAAGTGATTAAGAGCATTCTACCTACTCAAAAGTATTTCATGTTCATTTCCTTTTTCCTTTGTCATTGTTGTCTTACCATTGATTTGGTAAGTGTGATACGGTGGGAGAACTGACTTGAGGTTTTGTGTTTTGTCGCAAATGTCGCGGTTAGCAAGAGTCGCCACCGACTTTTCTTTTATCCAAAAGGAAAGGTGAAAAAGCACAGGAAAGACCTTTGAGATGTTTTCTTGAGTTTGGGGGGTAGATTATGAAAAGGGAAGGTGCTAGCACCCTTTTCATCCATGGTTTTCCATGGGCTCTTAGTTACTTGCTTAGATCACTTGCTTTGGTTTGTTTGAAATGGTGTTTGGTGTGGTTTTGAAAGTATTTTGTAAAAGAGGCCATTTGTTTAGGAAATCTTTGTAATGATTCTCGTTCTTAAGAATGTATACAAAGATGTTTGTCTTTTGAAAAATGTTTTCAATGTTTGTAATATGTTTTGAAATGTGTGTGTTTGTTTTGAAAATAGCAAGGATTGTTTGCTTGAAATGGAGCAAGTAACTAGAAGCTATCTACCTACTCAAATGTATTTCTTATGTATTTTCTATTCCTTTGACATTGTTGTCTTACCATTGATTTGGTAAGCAACCCTATCTTTGGATGTAAACGGGACGGGCGTGGGTCATCGTATAGCCATGATTAACAATGTTTGCAAAGTATCTTAACATTTTTGAGGGACCAAGATCATTTTGTAAGGCAACTTTTGAATAGTGTCATCGAGGGACTATGATCTTAAATTTGTTTTGTTTTGCCAAGATACTTCGCATGCGTAACATGGCCATTTTTGTTTTAGGCAACCAAATGGGAGAAACCCTAAGGGTGCTTGTGTGCAAAGTGTATCATTTTCATGCTTTGATTTTGTCTTGTATTTAGGGTGTTCTATTTTGCTTTGTTTTGTTCTTGTCATACAAACCCTAATCACTAATCATGACATATGAAAGCGATAAATTGCGTAATATAAATATTTCTAAGCTATTACAACAATTTATGGGAAGGGGGAATACAAATTTGAATGGGGATTTTCAAGAATATAAGCTAAATAAATTATTACAACCAAATCGAATTTGTGCGAATTAAGATAAATATAATATAATATTTAGGGTTAATACCTATTTTCACCCCTGACATATGGGGTGTATTTGAAAAACCCCCCTGCCAAAAAAAAAGTTCCAATAGTTACCTTGACAAATTTTAAAAGTTTCAATTTTTACCTTGAGGCTCCCACATCACCTAAAAGGCTGATGTGGCTTATTTTTTTGTTACAGGTGTAAGTTTTTTTTTTGCCATGTCACACAAGACCAAGTAAAATGTCCAAAATGCCCTTTCTACATTTTTCTTAAAATCCTAAATAATTTGGCAAATGCTATGTTTCAATTCAGACCCTCCACCTCCAAATTAGGGCGCAACATCTTCATCTCAGCAACCCAACTTTTGCTTTCCTCTTTCCTCTTCATCTTTAAGTTTTCTTTGATTTCATAAACATGAGTCAACCAAATTGTTCAACTTCATGCTTATCTTCAAATGGTAGACTAACTCCCAAATGCGGCCACAATGTCTCCATGAAGTTATTTGTTTCAAAATCGGTTGCAAATCCCGAGAGAAAATACTGGAAGTGTAAGTTCTGGGGTAAAGGAGATGACTGCAACGCATTTGTTTGGGATGATGAATTTTTTGATGATTTCGGTGATAACGGCCATTCAGATGTAGTTTCAGTAGAACTGATGAGCAAACTGGAGAGAGACATCGCACTGAAGATGGAAGCCATGGAGAAAAAAATGGATGAGTTACAAAAGAAGCTGAATTATGTTTTAGTTGGGTTTATTTGTCTTTTGGTTCATTTCTTACTTAGTTCATGTAAAAATTCATGAAGCTGTGGCTTATGTTCTAGGAAGTTGTAACCTAAGTAAAATTTAGTTCATGAATTATATTTCTTTGTTATGGAATATGGAATATATTACTCTCATGAGTTTTGGTTATCTGTTCTGATATTTTGGAAATCTGTTCTTAAGAAATTCTGTTTTGGAATATTTTGGAAATCTGTTCTGATATTTTGGAAATCTCTTCTTAAGCAATTCTGTTGAGTAATTCTGTTTTACAAAATCTGTTGTTAAGCAAATCTGTTGTTAAGTAATTCTGTTCTTAAGAAAATTTGTTGTACAAAATGACAATAAAATAGTTAAGCCAAAATCTGTTGTACAAAATGACTTTAACATTGTCAAGCAAATCTGTTGTGATACATAGTCAAGTACATCTGTGATACAAAATGACAATAACATGATACATAACTTAAGCCAAGCCTGTTCTGATAATAAGTCAAAGTAACAAAATGACACATGAAACTTTCAAATTGAATTTTACAAAATAGCACACTATGTGCACAACTACTGATCAATGCCCTTCCTCTTCTTCCTTGATATCTTCTTTGAGGTACTACCACCAGTTTCTTCACCTATGGTCAAAGGTGCATCAGGTGTTGATCCAGGCCGATCATGTCTTTTGGCATTCCTCACTCCCTTCAATCTTTCACTGACTCTCTTTCTTGATCGCTTCCAAGGCACGGCCACGGGCTTTTTCCTAGCTGAAGGCTTTTTGACATTAGTAGCAGCAGGGTCAGGTTGCATTGCAGCAGGTTGTGAATCATGTGTTGGGGGAGGTTGCATTGCAGCAGGTTGTGATTCATGTGTTGGGGGAGGTTGCATAGCAGTCGGTTGTGTGGGATTGTCAACTTGTGATTGTTGTTCTTCATAAAGATCCATCATATTATTCAGCAATGCATCCATCTCTGGGTCTTCATCCACAGTTCCACCTCCAGTTGCAGATGTATCAACATTTGCATCAGATTTTTTTGACACTTTGGTCCTAGGTGTCTTTCTCTGCATTATTCAGAAACAGATATAAATAAAGACATTTCAATATGCTGAACACAATATTATTCAGTAACAGATTCATGAACACAATACCTTTCTCTTTAGTGCATTAGGATCTTGCTCCTTAGCTTGACACTTCCTAGAATTATGGCCAAATTTGTCACAATGCGTGCATCTGTATGCTACACCTACCCTCCTCATCCTTGAACCATTCTCATCCAACTCTCTAAACCTCAGTTTCTTAGGCCTTCCAGGTCCCTTCTTATATTGTGGTGGCAACAATTCTTCAGCATCCACAGTTGGCCACATGTCCATGCCATTTATTGGACTAACATTGTTTTCATAACATGCCCTGTAAGCTTCTCTCATGTAACAAGGGTCAACATATTTCTCAGGATCTAAGTTTTGATACTGTAATGCAGAAACAACATGCCTACATGGTATGCCCACAAGATCCCAAAAACAACAAGTACAGGTTTTTTTCCCAATATCAACAACAAACTGCAATCCATTATATGGGTGTTGGACTTGCCACAAATCACCACTGCTCCATGTAGGCAGCCATTCTCCACTAAGATATGTTTCCTTATCAAGCCTTTTCCTAGGATTAGGCATGACATTGTGCTTCCACTTATCAAGCTTAACAACACTATTAGCAATCCTATTCATCACGTAGTTCCTAATCCATTCTACCATAGTGAGTATTGGCTTATCCCTAGCTTGTAATATTGTACTATTGAAAGATTCACTCAAGTTATTCATCAAAACATCACACTTAGGGTAAAATGAAAATGAATGCTTACACCATAGTTTTGTTGGCACTCCCATCAGCCATTCCCATGCCTTCTTATCAATTTGTTTAAGCTGATTCATCTTATTTTCCCAAGCCTGGAAGTAAGTAGCCTTTGCAGCCCCCAATAACAGGTCTCTAATGGCAGCTCCCCCTCCAAATTTCTTCTTGAAATTTGCATACAGGTGTCTGAGGCAGACCCTGTGTTCAACTTGCTGATGCATTTCCTCAAAGACACTAACAAGTCCCTAAAAACAGCAAGACCACAGAAAAAAGCATGTACATTAGCAACTTATATATTCCTCATAAATGTTGAACATTAGCAACAGAACAAGGCATGTAACATTAGCAGCAGGTTCTCATAAATGTTGAACATTAGCACCAGAAATACTTCAGTACCAGAAATTAGTGCATATTTGTGCATGTTTCATAAATATGAATAACTAAGGTAATTAGTGCATATTTGTACCTTTTGTTGGTCTGAAATAAAAACATACTTTCTCTCTTCTCCAATGTCTTCCATTAGCAATTGCATAAACCATCTCCAGCTTTCTTTTGTCTCAGTCTCCACCACACCAAATGCCAAAGGATAATATTGGTCATTCGGGTCCCTTGCTACAGCAATTAACAATTGACCTCCATATTGTGTCTTAAGATGACACCCATCTACCCCTATAAATGGTCTACAACCCTTGGTAAACCCTTTCTTGCATCCATCAAAACAGAAGTAAAATCTACCAAATCTTAGTGGTAGTGTTGGATGTGGTCTCTCAGTATTTAGTTTGACAGTGTTCCCAGCACAATGTTTTCTCAACTCAGCTGCATATCTCCATAACATGTTATACTGTTCCTTTGCATCACCTTCAATTATTTCTTCAGCCATAGCTTTGGCTCTCCAAGCTTTCCCTTTGGTAATGCCCACTGAATATTTCTGTCTAAGCTCAGACATAATTTCAGACAGTTTAACTTTCCCTTGTGACTTCCTCTTTTCAACCACTAACTTAGAGACCCACTTGGAATTGGCAGACTTGTTATTTAATACCCTTGCACATGTGTGGGTCCCCACCCAAGTCTTTAGCTGGTAAGTGAGGCTACCTCCCACTTTGCTACACAATGCCAAAAACCCACATTTACTCTTACACTCAACCCTAACCCTATAGCTCTCATTCTTAACAAACGTTATTTCTCTACCATTTAATACTGACCAATCCCTGATAGCATCTTTAAATTCAGAAAGAGAAATGAACTCCATACCTAATTTGAATTGAAAGTCTTTGTTAAGCAGCTCTGATTTGAACTTCTCATACTTTGGCTTGGAAGGTTTGTCATCCATGTCACTTTCATCAGCATATGAACTTTCAAGTTCCTCACTAGCATAATCCACATCTTCACATATCCTTGTAGCCCTCTTTGAACAAGATCCTAAGACACTTTTGGGCACCAAAACACTGACCTTGTCCCTTTTGCTCTTTTCTTTCATCTTTTTGGGATCCTTGGATGCACAACGCTTGAATCTAAATGATTTCCCTTCGATCTCCACCCTATTCCCACTAACTGGAACAGCTACCTCCACTCGTTCAAATTGCTCTTCTTCTACTTCAATTACTCTTTCCTCTTCACTGTCATTGAAACATTGGCTTGCATCAACATAGTCACCAGAACTATCATCTCCACTAGAGGTGTTGAAGTCATCAACATTAGGTACCAGAACCTTGGTCATCATGTCTTCTACACCGTGCTCTACCCAAAGATCACCGTGAACCCTACAAGACATACAATGCTTAGCAACTTCTACAGCTCCTGCATCATCAACAACATTTGTAAACCCTTCATCCATTTGCGGAATCTTTCTCCATAGCCTAAAACCTTCATAACCCCAATCTTTAACCAGTCTAACAGCTTCAAAAAAGCTCCATTTATCTTCGTCCTGACATTCAACAGTAGTCTCACTACCTCCTCTATAATACGTATGGCCGTCTTGAACGAAACTTCCCCCATGATGAAACACCAAATTAAACACACCCATTTGCAAGGATGAAGAACCCTAATCGCAGGGTCTGAATTGAAACTGGCTTTTTTTGTAAGATGAAGATGAAGATGCTGCGCCCTAATTTTGCCAAATAATTTGGGATTTTAAGAAAAGGGCATTTTGGACATTTTACTTGGTCTTGTGTGACATGGCAAAAAAAAAACTTACACCTGTAACAAAAAAATAAGCCACATCAGCCTTTTAGGTGATGTGGGAGCCTCAAGGTAAAAATTGAAACTTTTAAAATTTGTCAAGGTAACTATTGGAACTTTTTTTTTGGCAGGGGGGTTTTTCAAATACACCCCATATGTCAGGGGTGAAAATAGGTATTAACCCTAATATTTAAAATGTAATGCAATGTACATGTGAGAAAAGATTTTTGTGTCTTGTTTTTATGTAAAAGAAATTTTAATCTAAACCTAAAAATATAAGGAAAAAGATTTAATTTTTGAAAGGGGTTTAACCCTAATTTTATTTATGAGAAAATAAAGTTTCTATATTATTATTTTTGTATGTTTTCTTGTATAAAAATAATAAATAATATTGTAATAAAATATAAAGTTTTGTATGTATGCAAAAAATAGGGATTTATAAATATGAAATGCAAAATGAAAATACTAAGTATATTTAATTATATTTACAAATTTATTAAGAAAAATAAATTATATCCTATTAAAATAAACTATATTTTTATGTGAGAAATAATACAAAAAATTAAAATAAAAATGTAATATATTAATTTACATTTTTTGGAATTTTTATGTTTTAAAGGAAATATTAAAAACATTTAAAATATGAAAACAAAACAAAAAATACAAAATAAAAATAAAAATATGGATTAGCAAAGGGGGTGATAAAGAAGATTTATGATAAGATTAGCAAAAAAATCTGGCCCAAGTAGACTAAGCCCGTCCTGCAAAAAAGTGTGAAATGGAAAAGAAAAAGAAGGAAAAATACAAAAAGTAACGCACATGTTTGAACCCAGGACATGGGTCTCACCAGCGCGCTGCTTTACCACTAGGGTGGCCATACATCCATTGTCTTTACTGAAACAAAAATAATATATTACAAAACGCATCCTTGCCATGTTTAATCTTCTTCCTCAAGCCTTGGCCGGATCCCCTGTAACTTCCTCATACTTCCATAAAAATGAAAACTTGTAACATGAAAAATATAGCATTT